GGAGGCGCATGATCACAGCTTCCCTAGACACGGTGGCGGCCCCCCTAGACCTTATCAGCAGCATCCACCCGCAGCACGCCCTACTGTTGCTGTCACGCTGCGTATCCAGGCGTATCTCATATCTGCTTCGGACAACACCGGCAGACATGCTGCCCTTAGAAGAGTGGCGGGAGTGGAGCGAAGGAGTGGTGTGGACAGTGCTCAAAGCGGCACACCTGCACGTGCCGAGGAAGGAGATCAAACAGAGCCTGGTGTGGAGGCAGGCGACCCTTCCAGTATGCCTCGGCGGGCTGGGCCTCATAGATCCGGTCTCGGAAGCACCCGCAGCCTACCTGGCATCCCTAAGCGCGGCCCACACCCTACTGAGTGGCCTCCCTGAGCACCCAGACCACCCCCTGCGGCGGGCTGCAGACCTGGTATCTACAGAACGCATCGAGGTGTCGGCACGGGGAGGGGAGACCCTGCAGGACCTCAAAAGCAAGCTACCAGAGAGGGCACTAGAACTCCTACATGAGCACCACCGTCAGAAGGGGGGGAAAGGCCGGCTGCAGTTAGGGCTATCCCGCGAGGTCAACTTGGACAGGGCAGCGGAGCTGATAGGGGACACCCGGGTAGACAAGCCGGGCGGGGATAACGGGCACGTGGTGCGGCTCATAGCCTTGCAGACGCCGGGGGCAGGAGACTGGCTGCATGCCATACCCACGCGAGCGGACCTCACCTTCTCTCCCGGGCAATTCGCCATAGCCCTAGGCTTCAGGCTCGGCCTTTCCCTTCCAGTCACAGAAAACTGCCCCTGCCGCGGCAGGCGCTCCAAGATAGCAGACAGCAGCCTGCCGAATCACCTGCTGAGATGCGCGGATGGGGGGGACCGCACCAACACCCACAACGCGCTGGTGTACGCGGCACTACGCATGGCACGTGAGGCGGATTTCACTACCTTGCACGAGACGACAGGATTTTCGCCCCCAGTCAACCCTAAACGGGCAGACCTGGTCTTCCGTGACAGGGAGTCGGGTGAAACCTACCTCACAAACGTGACGGTGACCGACCCAGTGCTGCAGAGGCGGGACACCCAAGGGAGAAAGGCGCCAGGGTGGGCAGCAGAGGACGCTGCCAGGACCAAAAGGGGGCTGTATGAGGAGCGCCCCGAGTTTGCGGGGGTCCTGGGCCTGGCCGTGGAAACCTACGGGGGACTAGCGAGAGACACACAGAAATTCTTCCGCATTTTAGGCACGAGTGCGGCCAAGAAGAAGCACCGCCAAGGGAGGCTCACCACGGTGGCCTCCAGGCTGACTGCGCACTACCGACAACGCTGGTCGGTAATGCTGCAGCGCTGCCAAGCCAACGCCATGCTGGCAAAGTCCAACAGGGCGGCGGAGGCAGCATACCCCCAGGCCTGGGCTGACCCTTGGGAGCCAGGCCTGGGGGACATATGGCAGGTCCTGGAAGATGAGGTGGAGGAAGTGTGGGACCTGGGAGTCTAGAAGGCTGGAGAGAAGGAGCCGGGGCAGGACCAAGGCCGCCTGAGCCACCATGGGGGCCTAGTGATAGGTGCTTGCATGCCTAGGCAGCCATGTACCAAGGAAGGTAGGAATAGTACGAGCAATGCATGCCAGGATTGCCTATGCTTCTAGGGCAGCATGTATGCCAAACTACTCATGCCATGCTTGTATCCTATGACCATTATCAATACAGGACTACTTGAGAGAGAGAGAGAGAGAGAGAGAGAGAGAGAGAGAGAGAGAGAGAGAGAGAGAGAGAGAGAGAGAGAGAGAGAGAGAGAGAGAGAGAGAGAGAGAGAGACCTATGTCTGCCCGTGCGATGAGGTGCAGGCTTTCCTGAAGCACCTGGCGGACAGAGCAGCACGCTTACACTTCAACGCGGACCCCTCAAGCTTCCAGGCCGCAAAGCTGCTGCACCAGTTCCGCCAGCAGTGGTCTGTCGCCTTGCAAAGGGCGCAGGCAGTGAGCTTCCTTATCAAGATGAACCTGGCAGCCCAGAAGGAGAACCCAGCCTTAGGAGGCCCCGAGGGGGTCCTGGACCCGGGGGAGTGCTTTGCTACCCTCGAACCGGGCAATGGTAGCGAGTAGAAGACTTGGGGGGGGGGGGGGGGGGGGGAGGAAAGGGGTAGGGAGGAGAATAGTTAGACATACCTGTTTGTTGCTTGCTTGCTTGCCTTTGCTGTTTTCTCTTTCCTATATCAATACAAAGGTCCGTTCCTATGTGGAAAACACGTTTAATTCGGTGGAGCGGGAGTCGTTTTTCTCGGCACTAGAGATCTCGGACCTGCATCAGTTGCTGCCGTTTGTCGGAACGCTGTATGACTCACCCTCGCGTCTTCTAGTCGACCCGGCCCTAGGAGTGGAACACATCATGAGCTCCCGCGGCGTGCGCCAGGGGGATCCCCTCGGTCCACTCCTCTTCGCAGCGGCGATCCAGCCGACCCTGATGTGCGCGGCAACAACGCACCCAGGAGTAGCGGTCATAGCGTATGCCGACGACATCACAGTGGTGGGGCCACGGTAGGATGTGTTCAATGCCTTCGACGCCATTGTCACTGAGCTGGCAAAGCGCGGGCTGCGGTGCAACGTGGCGAAGTCATCTGCGTGGGGACCGCAGGAGGGGGATACGGAGCAGACGGGACTGCCACATGGTCTGCGGATGAGTTCGGAGGGGATCAAGGTGCTTGGCAGCCCCATCGGCACCCCGGAGTACTGCACCGCAGAGGTCCGACAGGCGCTCACCAAAGCAGCGGCACCCGTCCCTCTTATCGCGCAGCTACACCCACAGCACGCCCTACTACTACTCTCCCGCAGCATCTCGCGCAGGATCTCATACCTACTCCGCACCACACCGAGCAGCGTTTTGGAGCGAGAGGAGTGGCGGGCCTTGAGCGAGTCACTGGTGGGGGCTGCGCTCACTGCAGCCAAGCTACGGGTCCCGGCCAGCGAGCTGGATCAGAGCCTCCTGTGGCGACAAGCAACGCTGCCCGTGCGCCTCGGGGGGCTGAGCATCATTGATCCCGTCTCCGAAGCACCAGCGGCATATATCGCGTCCTTGACAGCAGCACATCAACTGCTTCAGCAGATGAACCTGCGGGAACAGGAGCTGCTAGCGTGGGCGGAGACACTGCTGTTTAGAGAGTGGATCCCACCGCCCCCAGCGTCAAACGTGCTGATTACTCTGGAGGAGAGGCTGCCGGCGGAGGCGCGGTCGGCACTACAGTCCTACAGGGAGGGCCCCCTGGGGCAGGGTAACTTGCAGCTTCTCCTGTCCAAGCACATCAGCGCGGTCCGGGCCAGGGAGCTGCTAGCTGACACTTTGGTTGACAAACCAGGGGAAGACCAGGGGCACGGGGTCCGGCTGGTCAGTTTGAAGGGAGTGGGAGCCGGGGATTGGCTACACGCAGTGCCAACGAGGTCTGACCTTACATTTGCCCCTGGTCAGTTCTCGTTGGCGCTCGTTTTCCGCCTCGAGATGGCCCTACCAGTCACAGTCAAGTGCCCCTGTAAGCGCAGCAACTCGGATATCAATGACACTAGTCTGGCGAATCACCTGCTCCGGTGTGGGGAAGGGGGGGATGTGGTGAGGACGCACAATGCCCTGGTCTACACGGCGCTGAGAATGGCAAAGGAGGCAGGCTTCAATACTTTCCACGAGACGTCGGTTTTTTCCCCCCCGGTCCACCGCAAGAGGGCAGACCTCGCATTCCAGGACAGGGAGTCGGCGGAGACTTGGGTCACGGACGTAACGGTGACAGACCCGGTGCTGCAGAAGCGGGACCCTAGGGTGCGGAAGGCGCCTGGGTGGGCCGCCAGGGAAGCCTCTGAGAAGAAGCATCGCCTGTACGAAGGCCGGCCCGACTATGTGGGGTGTTTCGGCCTTGCAGCTGAGACTTATGGGGCGTTGGCGACTGACACGGTGCAGTTCCTTCGGTTGCTAGCTGTTGCTACGGCGAAGAAGAAGTTTCGGCAGGGGCCCCTCACTATGACCGCCTCTAGGCTCAATGCACACTACCGACAGCGCTGGTCGGTTATGCTACAGCGCTCCCAGGCCATCTCGTTCCTCAACAAGTCCAACATGGCGGCGGAAGCGGCTTTCCTACAGGCTGCCATGGACCCCTGGGAACCAAGCCTAGGGGATTTGTGGCAGGTGCTGGAAGATGACATGGCTGGAGTGTAGAGCTCGGGGGGAGATACATTGGGGTGACGGTGAGGAGAAGAGGAAGGTGGTATCAGGATAGTGGTAATAAACGGCGGTAGTGGCAGTTGTTGCTGTTCAGGAGGGTGGCCTGTATGCCGGCCAGCTTACTTATATGCTTGTAGCTTGTAGCTTGTTTGCTTGCTTACTTGCTAGCCAAAGTGCATAGAGTAGCCAATCTGTCTAGAACCTGCCATTGCATGCCTGTACCCTATCACCAACATCAATGAAGGACTGCTTGAGAGAGAGAGAGAGAGAGAGAGAGAGAGAGAGAGAGAGAGAGAGAGAGAGAGAGAGAGAGAGAGAGAGAGAGGCACTAGGAACCAGTCCTTAGCCTCTCTTAGCCTCTCCTAGCCTCTCTTCCCTAGTATATAAGGCCTAGGAGCCCTTGTTCCTGTCATTGTTTTCTGTTGAGTTCCTTTCATTCCTCAGAATTCAGCGGCTATGGAGAGAGATCGAGTGAGAGAGAGAGAGAGAGAGAGAGAGAGAGAGAGAGAGAGAGAGAGAGAGAGAGAGAGAGAGAGAGAGAGAGAGAGAGAGAGAGAGAGAGAGAGAGAGAGAGAGAGGCACTAGGAACCAGTCCTTAGCCTCTCTTAGCCTCTCCTAGCCTCTCTTCCCTAGTATATAAGGCCTAGGAGCCCTTGTTCCTGTCATTGTTTTCTATTGATTTCCTTTCACTCCTCAGAATCCAGGCAAGAGGAAACACACACAAGTAACTTCGAGCAAAGGCATACACGCAATGTCAATTTTTACATCATTATAGGCAAGCATGGCATCAATGGGGCAATCGGAGCCCGCATCTACATGCGGTGAGCTCCAAGGGCGTGAAGAACGCCCATTAGGGTGCGCCACAGCTCCCGGACCACAAGCGTGCTTGCGCCGATTGCCGCGGCTCCAGATCCTGCGCGCAAGTGCCGCCTCAAGCCCCGGACAGCCTCGTCAAGCTGTCCCGCAGCAGCAGCGCCACCCTTCGCGGGCGCAGCCAGCACGGGCGCCAGCAGCGCTGTGAGCTGGTCCGCCGTGTCCAAGCAAGTCTCACGCTGGCGGCCACGGAAAGTCTCAAGAGGGATCACGGGGAGGGACAAGTGCGCAAGTACCTAAATCAGCAGCAACGCGTGTAGACTCTCCGCGAGGCGGTGGAGCTGGCCGAGAGTCGCCTCGGGAACACGCATCTACGGAGGCTGGAGTGCCTCCGCCAAGAACAAAAGCGGCTCATCGGCAGCAACGTGGTGTGAATACTGAGCCGGTGCGCCACCACGCGCAGCAACAAACTCCACTCCCGCAACAGGCGGAACCGGCGGCAGATGAAGACGGGAACCGGGAGCAGGTGCCGAGGCAGCGGGAGCAGGAGCCGGCGGGACGTGAACCTGAGGTGGGGGTGCAGCGACAGGCGGCGGACTCAAGGGGAGCACAGTCTGGCGAGGAGCCTCAAGGGCTGGCGAGGCGCGCATCGAATTGCTCTGGCTCTGCGCCGCCCTCTCCTCACGAACCGCCCTCGACACTTTCCGCTGAAGATCCGCCATCGTCACGGGGGGGCGGTACCTCCCACCACCGCCGCGCCCGCGGGGACCCCTCCAGTCCCCATGACCACCGGGGTGAGCAGGCCAGTGCGACTGCTGCTGGTAACGCCGTGGAGAATCATGCCGGCGACGAGACAACTTGCGCTCCTGATGGGGCGCGGGGGAATGAGGGCGAGACGGGCGACGGTCGGGTGACGGGGGTCGGGACGGCTGACCTGCCAGGGCCATCGGCGTCACAGCGGGCGCGGACTGACCCGCCACTGCGGGCGCAACCGACGGAGCCGGGCCGCCAGTAGTGGCGGACGCCGCCTGCGGTGACGAAGCAGAAGCTGGAGCAGGCACGCCGGGGACAGAAGCGAGCGGTGCAATGGGGGCGCCAGGGACAGGAACAGGGGGACCAGCAACATCCCCAGCAGGAGCAGATGCCGACGGCTCGACACGGAGAGCCGGGGGGCCAGGAGCTGCAGCCGGAGCGGACGGAACAGTAACCGGGGCAGACGGGCCAGCCTCTGGAGCGGCAAGGGGATCCGCGCGTGCGTGGGGAGGAGTCTTTTCAGAGACTGTTGTCACGGGTTTCGGAGCCGGCGGTACAGGGGGGCTTCATCGCCATGGTCGCCCTTTCGGGCTCCGGCGGAGGCTTGGCGGCCGCAGCCGACCAGGCGGCAACGAGCTCTGGCGACGGCGCAGGTGCACCGGCAATCACAATCACCGGAGCAGGGAGGTCGCGGGGCGAGGAGACAAACTGTAAGCGGGACAGGCGGAGGACCGGAGAACGGGTATCAAGCAGCGGCACGAACGGCTTTAAATAATATGGAGGCAACTAATGAAGAGGACGAGTCGAACGACCCTTCATATAGGGAAGAAGCCCTCCCCGAGAGCGAGGGCGAGGAGACGGAGGAGGAAGGCAGGGCGAGGGAGAGACCAAGGAGAAGGGAAGCGGTAGTAGGGCAGACAGACTCGCAAGTACCACAGATGGCTCAACCACCATCCGATGCCGATCGGACGAGTGCAAATCCAATATTGAGCTCACCGGCGAGATCGAGCCGCGTTGGGCGAAATCGGACCGCCACTGCCGGTATCGCGACACGCCCTTCCGCACCAATTCCCCGCTACTTTTCACCTGACGAGTTAGCGAAGCGGTCAGATCTGTTCGCGGCCATCGTGAATTGGGACATTACATCACTATGCGACAGCCGTCAGCCTTCACTGTTGCGGCGTTTACCGCCAAACCTGTGTCAGCTATTTTCGCTAGCGCTACTGACACCGTTACTCCACTTATCGCGAAACCCCGAATCGGAAACGGGATGGCGCCTGCTACTGTTTCTCCCGCGCCTAACACTTCGCCAGACCTCGCCACAACGACCGAAATGGCCGAGTGTCAAGGCCCGGCTCCGAGCTTTCCAGCGTGGCGAATGGGAGCAGTTGTACCAGGACGCGTTGGACGCAGTCAACGCACCGCCACCGCCGCGACACCAGCCAGATGCGTCTGGAGTCATCAGCCGTGCGGAGGGCCTGGCGAAACGTGGCAGTCTGCGCCGAGCCGTGCTGGCCCTGGAGTCAACACCCGTCTACACACCCTGCCCAGAAATATTGGAGGAGCTGCGCCAAAAGCACCCACCTACTGCACACGAGGCAGTGACATGGCCAGTGCCACAAGGGTCAAAGCTGTCAATCCCCCACCCCGACTTCGCAAAAAAATTAGGAAGATGCGAGAATGGGGTGGGAGCCGGACCGTCAGGCATGACATTCGAGCACCTGCGCGACGCGGCGATCACCAACGCATTGGTCAGCACCCATGTGCACGCCTTGGTTAACACCATGCTGGGAGGGAAATTGCCAGGCTCGGTCGCAAACCTTCTGACGGCGTCACGACTCATAGCCCTCGCCAAGCCGGGGGGTGGGGCTAGGCCAATCGCGATCGGCGAATGTCTGACGAGGCTGGCAGCCAAGGCTGCCCTGTTAGCCATGGGAGAACGGGTCCGCGATTTTTTTCTGCCACTACAGTATGGGGTGGCAGTACCAGGTGGAGCAGAGGCAGTAATCCACGCAGCCAGGGCTTTCTTGGATGCCCACCCTGACAGCCTGGTCCTGCAAGCCGACATTTCAAACGCGTTCAACAGCATTTCGCGAGAAGCTATCGCCAACGCGTTACAAGAGCCCGCCCTCTCGCCACTACTACCGCTAGTGAAACTGACGTATGGTAACCCGTCGCAACTGCTACTGGACTCCAACTTCAACAGCGAACCACTGACAAGCGAACGCGGCGTCCGCCAAGGAGACCCACTTGGCCCGCTTCTGTTCGCAGCAGGGATACACGCCACACTTCGCGAAACAGCCGAAGCACACCCTGACGTGCTTTGCTTGGCGTATGCAGACGACGTCACCTTCCTGGGTGACACAGCTCGCACTGTAGCGGCATTTACACATTTCACGGCCAAGTTGGCGCACCTGGGCCTCGAGCATAACCCACAGAAGTGTGCAGCCTGGAGCTCAAGCGCAGTCAATCCAGCTCGCCTCCCGCCAGGAGTGCCGTTCTCTAAAGACGGGGTGCGGCTATTGGGTAGTTTTGTGGGGCCTGACAGCGGCGCAGCTCAGTTCTTAGCGGGACAACTCGCCGAGATGACAAAGCCCCTACCCCTTCTCGAGCGAGCAGACCCCCAAGTAGCAGCACTACTGTTCACGCGATGCATCTCGCGACGAGTCGCTTACCTCACCAGGACGACGCCTCTCCACCTCCTCCCCCGAGATAGATGGAGCCAGTGGGGTAGGGATCTGCTCACCACGCTCCTCACATCATGCAATATCCGCGTTCCGACGTGTCGAACCGAACAAGCACGGGTTTGGGAACAAGCGTCGCTGCCGCCATCGTTAGGAGGCCTGGGCATCACAGACCCCCTAATTGAGGGGATATACGGCTTTACAGCGAGCTTTACACAGGCGGCGCTCTTTCTCGGTTGCTTATTGTTAAATCAGGAGAACGCTCTGACGCTCGCGCGGAATCACATGCTAATGCCGCGGGTTGACAACACACCGCTACGCACCTGACTGACCGAGTGCGAGGAGGCGCTGCCGTTAGATGCGCGAGAGATACTGGAAAAGGAGCGGCTTGAAAGGTCTGACATCCGGCTCCAGCACGTGCTAGGACTCAAGGTTCACGGGAGCAGATACGCAAAGCAGGTGCAGGCGACGAGGCGCATGAAGCCGAATCCGCTCGCAGGCCACACGCAGCGGATGTTTTCACTGACTGGCTACGGCACTGGTGACTGGCTCACCGCGATCCCCATCGCTTCCACACGGCGGATAGGGCCAGTGCACTTTGCCAATGCTGTGCGCTTCTGACTCGGCCTGCCGTTTTCCACTCCTAAGAACTGTGACTGCGCGGACCACACGGCTATCACTGACCCTCGCCTCCCAAATCACCTGCTCCGCTGCGGTATGGGCAAGCACCACACGAACACACACAACAAGCCGCGGGATGCCTGCGTTAGCATGGCGCAGGACGCGGGGTTTATAGTGCACAGGGAGTCGGCCGCCTACTGCCCTATCGAGGAGCAAACGGCCGACTTCACCATGACAGATAGAAGCAGTGGGGCAGTTTACATCTGTGACGTTACCATCACCGACCCTATCGGCACTAGGTGTCGAGATTAGAACGGGTGAAAAGATTGAGGGAAAAGAGATACAAGAAGATATAGCTAACCCTAGGAATATGAAATGGTACACCTAGACTAACATAGACTAAACATATAAAATATATGTTGACACACCCCCATAGTCTAGGTGACGCCAGTCCTGTGGAAAGCAACACAAATCTCAGGGTGGGTCTCAAGGACACACACATTCTGAGAGCAAGCAAGGGTCACATGAACGGTCAGCAAGAACAAGCAAGGGTCACAAGACCAATCCACAAGAACAAGGCAAATCTCAGGGTGGAGCTCAAAGTCACCACACACTCCGAGAGCAAGCAAAGGGCCACAAGGCCAGTCCACATGTTGGCATATAGCAAATATAATGAAATGCAAGAGTACAAGACAAGCAGGACAAATCATCTCTACGTAAGCAAGTGAGGACGAGCAGGCACAAGGCCAAGCTGGGTGCAGAAACGCTGGTGGTCACAAGGCGGCAACGCCTTGGTGAAGATATCTGCCGTGTTGGCCTCAAAGACCACACGTCGTACGAGTGCCTGGCCACGCTGCTGCAACTCACGCAGAAGGAAGTAACGAAGCTGGATGTGCTTCGAATTCCCAACCAGTCGGGGCTCCTCACACAACAGGACAGCAGACATGTTGTCGACGAACAAGACTGGGGGAGAGCGAGGCCGCTCACCAAGGTCGGTGAGAAGGAAAGACTGCCAGCGAAGCTCCTGAGCGGCCATGGCCGCAGCGTACACCTCTGCCTCACAGCTGGAAGCGGAGACGGACGACGCCCGAGTCGACCGCCAAGAAACAGCACCTGTCCTGAGGCTAAAAGAGTACCCCTGTGTAGACCGACGCGTCTCCACGTCGTCGGCCCACAACGAGTCCGAGTAACCTGTGAGTGTAACTGGCTGCTTCCCTCCAAGGACAAATCCCATGCCTGATGTACTCGCCACATACTTCGCCACCCTCTTAGCAGCGTACCAGTGAGACGGTCGGTGTCTCCCAGGCGCAACAAAACGCGCAAGGACGCTAAGAGGGTAAGCTAGGTCTGGACGAGTACAGGTCATCAGGTACATGAGACAACCCACCAGCTCAGGATATGGACCACTGGGCTCAAATGACTCGTCCGAAGGTGGAGCCGTGAGCCCATGATCCACACCGAGAGGGGTGAGCTGTACCTTGGAGAACAGGAAGCGAAACCGCGTGAGGATCTGCTCGACCATATGCGACTGCGTCAGCGTAATGGTGCGAGCTGCCCTGTCCCTAGTGATCTGCAGGCCAAGGTAGTGCTGCAGCTCACCAAGGTCAGTGCAAGTGTGTCTCCTCTGCAGTTCCTCCTACACGGAGGCCAGCGCGCGTCGGTCGGGAGTGGCGAACACCAGGTCGTCGATGTAGACCAGGACAAAGAACGGGGTCGAGCCACGGCGAACGAACAGTGACGGGTCAGCAGACGACGGAAAGAAGTCAAGAGCTGCAAGGGTCGAGCGAAGTGTGTCGTGCCACTCACATCCGTCAAAGATGGGGGGGAGGGCAGTACCGGAGGCAGCAGCAAGGGAACGGGCAATGTCCTCAACAGCAGTGAGCCTCTTCTCAAAGAGGTCAATGGTGAGGGACATGGGGTTAACAGTGAGAAAGTGGTCACGGGTTATGGCAAAACGGTCAGGGAGGCAGGTGGACAGCAGGTACAGTGTCATCCACATCGGGGGGGGGGGGGGGGGGGGGGGGGTTGGCGGCAAGTAGGGCATCATCAGGGGCAGCAGAACGGAGCTGGGCATCAAGCGAGCGCAAGTGCAGCACAAGATCAGGGACGCGGTGAAACGAGGGCAGGTCAGGAAACAGGAAGGGTAGTACAAGCCGGCCGAGGGAAGCAG